AGAGATCGTTTGTGTAGCTCTTCTAAAGTGGCAATGCGTGCAAGCCGAAAGGAGCATCAAGACTTTAGTTGCCGATTAATATAGGCTTGCACGCGAATAAGTTCTTCTCTGATAACACTCTTGTGTGCTTCCCATAACATCAACGGAGTGGAGCATGTGTCTGTATTGAGGGGAAAATATTCAGAGAGCTTATTTTTAATCTGAGAAAACATAGATCGATTCTCCCAAAGACCGAGGGGTTCAGTTTCCATATTCTAGAGTGGGTGGAGTGTGTGGGAAAAGAAATGGTCATGGTAATTGCCGCTTGGTCTGAGAGGACCATAGGCAAGTCTCGCTGGGAGAGGAAGAAAAAATCTAATCTAGTGTAACTCGAGTGTGTATGGGAGAAGAAGTTGAAGTCTTTCACGGTGGGGTGAAGGAATCGCCACGTGTCATGCAGATTCGAGATGTCATAAGCTGTTTGATCAATCTCAAGCACCTGAAGGGTAATGATTATCTGCCCGACGACGTATTGAGGAGTGGGTTTAAGGGAACGTTGAAGTCACCCCCAAGAGTGAGAAGTCCTTCCGCGAAATCTCTGATTCGGGAGCAAACCTCTCGGAAGAAGTGGACCTGTCTTATATTTTGGCAGTAGATATTGACTATAGTCACCAGGGTGTTAGTAAATGTGCCTTTAAGCATTATGTATCTGCCATCAGGGCCAGATAGTTGGTCTATTAGCTGAAAGTTGGCGCGAGAGGAGAACACAATGGAGACCCCTTTCGTTTTGGAAGCTGGATTGGTGGAGTGGAACACCATCAGGTATTTTCGGGAGTGGAGACTTGGTATTGTGTCACTCCGAAAAGTGCATTTCCTGTATGAGGATTACCTGTGCTTTGTGGTGGGAGAAAGCTCTGAGAAATTCGGACCTCTTTTCCGGAACATTCAGACCCTTGGCGTTAATAGATAAAAGCTTACAAGTAAGGGGAGTGGTAGGAAGAGAAACCGGTGTCGGTGCCATGAGAACTCAAGGCAGGTGAGTGGGCGGGATGCAAAGATGAGTAGGATCAGAGAAGAGAAAGTAATGGGGAGAGAGGCGTGAAGGAAGCAGAAGAGAGGAGACAGGAAGGAGGACGGGAGGAAGAGGAGAGTGGGTGTAAGAAGGGGAGGGTTAATAGAAGGGAGAAAGAAAGAAATGGAGGGAGATAAAGAGAAGAACAAGTAGTGAAGAAAGGTGTTCAGAAGAATTAGGAAAAGGTGGGGAAAGTCTACTGACCACTAAGGGGGAGGCAGATTATATTGCTACAAGAAGTAGAACAGCAACCCGAAGGATAAGGAAACTAGGCCCTATCACTAGAAAGGTAGAGCATCGTGTTGTGTCGATCAGCTCACACCGTAAGACTAGTCGTGTGGGGGTATGACTGAGTAGGAAGACCAAGGAGTATCCTCCTGGACCTGGGCCCCCTTGCTGTAAGGCTCCGTGCAGAGTCCCAGGGTAGTGTCACAATTCCCTGGAGAGATCCGCCATGGGGATTATATGAGCAGGGCCGTAGATGTAGCTGGGGTTACAGGTGTGTTTCCGGGTCCAGTGACCAGTGATTAAAAGCTTGCTGATCTCCCTCTAATCGATGTGGGGAGACCTGCTGTGCCGGGTCCACGCGGGGACAGCAGAGCCCAGGGTAGCCGGCAACGGAGGTTCCTGAAGTAGTTAACCCCCACATTGAAATGGATGCCAAATTTGTCCATTCTGCAGAACTTTCCAAAACTCTCTATAACTACAGCTAGGCCAGCAAGCCCTCAGCTTATTATCTGTTATACAGAAATAAATGGAGAAGAAAAGATTTTATATGCATGAATGTAGTGGGAACACTGCCAATTTTTCTCCTGAAAATCACAAAAAAAGTCTTGGCTTGACTTTAAGCATGTACATACTATGTAACATATTTAGTTTCCGCAAACAAAGCATTTACTAATCAGTTAATTTAAACACGATTCATAAAAATTTAAGTATTTTATTTTATTTTAGCTTTAGATGCTACAGCATAGCATCTTTTTCTGTCTCTGACCTTGCTTCTCTAATCTTTTCTTCAATGGCTTCTTAAAATGTTTCCACACACGAATGGCTTGTCTAATTAAATTCAAGATCCAGATTGTTAATGATTTTGTACCAACTGCTATTTCCAACTGTAATGCTAACTTCGCATCGATACTCAAAAACGTGTTGCAATAGCATTGAGTGGTAAACCTTAAATTATACACATAAATTACCAAGTGGTTATTTCTTTGAGCAAAATTTTAGAAAACACACATCTTTAAGCATAACAGGATGTATAGCCATATTCATACAAAGGTAGTGTGAAGTAGCAGTAAGCATATATTTATCAATACACACTCCACACTCCAAAGACATGCTGGTAGGTTAATTGGCTCCTGTCTAAATTAGCCCTAGTGTGATTGTATTTATGCATGTGAGCTAGGGACCTTACATTGCAAACTAATTAAGGGCAGGAATTGATGTGAATGTTCAGTTTGTAAAGCACTTTATAAATTGTTGGTGCTGTAGAAATACCAATAATAAATAAATAATGGAGGACCTGTCACAGTACGTGTGGCATTTTAGCCCCTATGTCATAGCAATGAAGTTAAGTTGATAAAAAGTTAAAAAAAAGTTACATATTAAAAATAAAAAACATTTCAAAGCCCACCCCCACAAACACACATACAAACACAAATATGTATTGGGTGTGACTATGTGCAATTGCACCACATGTTACATATCACCGGGAGTGAAAGCTAAAATTCTAAGGCACCTCCTGTTAGAGCTAAATTAATGAGTGATAAATGCTTTTAAAGTGTTGCCTATGGGCAATTTTAGGTACTGTAGTTTATGAGATATGTGTGGTTAGCAAGTGCAGGCAGAAATCAAGTCTGCTAGAATGGCAAAATATCAGATCTTGGAGTACCAAAGATAAATAAGCTTCTTAAAATTAAACTATAATGATTTTCAGTCACTTGTATTATAGTTTTTGTTGTTTTATTCTTTTTTAATGTTTTCATTTTTTAAAATATTTAATATCTATACAAAAACTATAATTTAACAATGAGGGGTGCACCCATGGCACCACTGTCACAGAGCATTATGGGTTCTCTAAAGAGAACAGCAGGACTGGTCTCCTTTTAGAATCCTTCTCTCCAATAAAAAGTGTGTGTGGTTTCCTCTGAACAGTAATGTCATGGAAGGGAAAGAAGAGGAGGCCGAGTCACTCCTGGGTCAATAATTTGTGTTCCTAAACTTAACATCTGTTAAGGACTAGGAAAGAGTCTCTAGTTTAGTCCCAACTTGCCAGCAAATCCTGATCTTTACTTAAACTATTGGGGTTATTCACGTAAGAGCCGAAGGATCCAGCCATAGGCTGGCTTTCACCTTGCAAATGACAGTTGTAATGACATATCAGCGTCCCCAAATGACCTGGTGACCTCAAGTGACCTCACGACTGCCTCTGCCCAGTTGTTATTCATTGGCTGGGACCTGCTAGAAGACTCTAGCAGGTGCATACCAATAGGAAATAGTTGGGCAGAGCTAGTTGTCACTGCTAGCTCCACCCATTTAAAACAATGTTTAATCTTTATTTATTTTTTAATTTACCCATTTGTTTACATTAAAAAAATGTAAACTTTTTAAAAACTATTTTCACTGATTTGCTATTCTGCTCGGTACCAAGGAGGCACCGAGCAGAATAGCCGAGCAGAATGCCGCTCGGCAGCATTCGGCTGTTCACTCACTGCCGTTTGGCCCCTATAGGGGCGAACGGCAGCGGGTGAGCTGCCGGAACTTCGGCTCAGCCAATCCAGATGTTGGATCGGCTGAGTCGCAGTCCTTCTACACTTCAGCTCAGCCGGACATGCAGAGCATGTTCGGCTGACCGAAGTGAAGCCGATGTACGGCTGATTTCAGCTGACCGAAGTGCAGCTGATGTACGGCTGATTTCAGCTGATGTACGGCTGATTTCAGCTGTACTAAGCCGTAGTGAATAGCCGAAAAATGTTCGTCTAGGTTATTCGCTCGACTGCCTTCGGCAGCTTTGTGTATGACCCCCTAAATCTTTCATGAGCAAAGTATAGTAAGAAACCTCCGTGTAAAAATTGTAGTTGTTTGGTTTTTATGCTGCCCACTGGCAAAAATACTCTGAGTAACTAACCCAGGACAAGTGCATACATCTGGAAGTCTAAAGTCTAATACATACAGTATATACTGTAGATATGTTGTACAGGATGCCAGGGATGGGTCCTGGAAAGCCTTTGTCACCCCTCTATTTGGGTTATGGTCCCTTTAAGGGGCAACAGAGGGTTAACAGCCAGGCAGGAGGATTGTCTAGAAAACACAGGAAACTCCACAGAACCTGGGGAGGAGTTGGATTAACACAGGTGTGCACTGAAAGCCATGTGAGCTGCTGAACTGAACTGGACTGAGCTTTGATCTGTGGGAAGCTACCAAAAACTCTGGGACTCTGATATTATACCTGTGAGCAAGATTTAAGTTGGTGAGACTCTATTTATGTTATACTGAAGATAATCAAACTTTATATTATTATTTGCTGAATATAAGTTATTTTGTTGAATTGCCTGAGCTGTGTGCCTTTACAAAAATAAAGACTGTTCCTGCTTTTAGAAATAATGGCTCTGAGACTGATCCCTGCACGCTTGCCAATATACGCTATGTTGGCAAAAGTATTGGGACACCCCTCCAAATAATTGGATTCAGTTGTTCAAATCACCTCCATGGCCACAGGTGTATAAAATCAAGAACCTAGGTATGCAGATTGCTTGTACAAACATTTGTGAAAGAATGGGTCATTCTCAGGAGCTCCGTGAATTCAAGCGTGGTACTGTGATAGGTTGCCACCTGTGCATTAAGCCCATCCATTAAATTTCCTTGCCTCAAATCGAGCTTTTATCCTCTAATTGTCCTAGTGGGACAACCAGGAGACTTAAGACAAGTCTTGGTTTGAACACTTTAAACAAATGGATCGACCGCCAGCTCGATCCCAAGATCCAATTACAAGCTTTTTAACTGCAGCAACTTTAATATACGCTATTGGAGCTGGAATTACTGTGGCTGCTGGCACCAGACTTGCCCTCCAATAGATCCTCGTTAAAGGATTTAAAGTGTACTCATTCCAACTACAGGGCCTTGAGAGAGTCCTGTATTGTTATTTTTCGTCACTACCTCCCCGAGTCGGGAGTGGGTAATTTGCGCGCCTGCTGCCTTCCTTGGATATGGTAGCCGTTTCTCAGGGTCCCTCTCCGGAATCGAACCCTGATTCCCCCTTACCCATGGTCACCACGGTAGGCGCGGAAAGTACCATCGAAAGTTGATAGAGCAGACATCCGAATGTATCGTTGCCGTCACGGGGACGTGCGATTGGCCCGAGGTTATCTAGAGTCACCAAAGCGGCCGGGGTTGTATGTTAACTGCTCATGTTGAATAACCATATCAACTGTTTGTCCCCACAACTCAAATGTAGGTGGGTTAGAGGATATCCATTTCTGAGCAAGGAGTTTATGTGCAAAAAAGGGGAAATCTAGTGATTGTAGGTGTGAACTGTTCTCCATAAATCAGACCGAAAAGGCAAATCTTAGAGTCAAAATGTAGGTGCGCTTGAAACGCTATGTTTATTGTATAGGTAACATCTCTCCAGTACCTTACAAGTTTAGGACACTTCCTAACAAACATCTTGCACAAACAGGTTCATATCTTCATAACTATTGGAATAATTGTAATGGGGTATGATAGGTCTGTGGGAGAGACAGATACCCCAGGGATCACAGAACATCAGACCATTACTCTTCAGACAGCTGATCCACATCATCCTCCTAGCCTTTTTAGCAGGGTAATAAAAGGCTTCCCCTGTTGCAGCAGTAGGGTTTTATAAATATGGTACATAAGTCCCTATTTAGCCTTTGATTTTGCTATATTCATTAACAGCAGGGTATCTATATATTTCCGTGCACACTGCTTGAACTGGGCTACCACTGCATATTGCAACTGCCAATACTTAAAGAATCTCTGTTTCAGTAACCCAAATCTCCCTTGCAGTGATTAAAAATACTGAATTAGTCAATTTTGGTATAGGTCATGAATATGGATAGCCACACATTTATACCACAACTCAAATTCCTCTAGGTTGCAGAGTTCAGGGTAGTTATGATTATCCCACATTGCTGAGCACTTAGTGTACCCATCATATGTTATGATGTTTTTTAGCCAATGCCCATATTTTGTGTTGCATATGTACAGTAGGATTGTCTGTAATTGTAAGGAAAGAGCCACTATGTTACTATATTATCTCTCAGGAACAATGTAGAAAATATACACTACAGTGGGCATATTTAGCCAGTTGTAAGGTTGCCAACTTAAGCCTGATAAGTGAAGGCCCTTTTTTCCAAATGTAGTCTTTGCAAAAGGGAGTTAATCTGCCAAAAACCTTTTAATAGACTGTAAACAAGGGTGTGACCTTGTATATAATATATATATATATATATATAG